GTGCAATGATGGTGCCAACTTGGGCCAGTGAAGCAACATCCTCCACAACTAGACTGAAGAACAAAAACGACAGCAACTTGTCTGTTCCCCTTCCACCAATTCCCCAATTAAAAAAAAAAAGATTAAAGAAATTATATTATAGAATGATATTGTGTTGTTTCTGAGGTCTACATGTAAAAGCTATACATGCTTTAAAAATTATTTTTGGTTGCTTCATGCTTTTTTCAAATGCAGCACCTTATGAAAACTCAATCACATTAAACCCCTGCTCATATCTGGGTTTCGGGCATTTCTTCTACAACAGTTGAAACAGTTCAAATTAAAAGCAGATTCCTACACCCTCCCCCAAAGTATCTCTCCCTAATGTTCCCATAGCTGATGCCCTCAGCCCTTCCATCCTTTTCCTGTTATTCATTTAGAGGCTCTTCTTGGTTTATTGACTTCAGTAACACTTTCCACCCTTCCTTCCAGCTTTGCACCCCTCCTCAGAGTCTGTGCACACCAGCTCCGGGTGAGACACTCTCCCAGCACTTGGGAGGGTTTTAGAGAACATCTAGAGAGACTGTAATAGAGACCTTTCCCAACAAATATCATGAATATCGTGCCTTGTGAAAAGAGTGAATGAGCATCATTAGGATGATAAAAATGTTTCAGATACGGGATGCAGCATTTTGAGTAAAGGACATAGATGAGAACTTTTACTTATGAGAGGGGTTCTCTTAATATTATTAAACTTTGATATACTGAAAAGGGGAACAGAGTTGAACCAAGAAGAAGTGTGTCCCTACTTTCAATGAGTTAAAACATACCAGGAATTGTCCTCAGCAACAGAGTGGGTGAATTTCCTCATGATTCTCTAGGTAGTGCTGCAGCCTGTTCCTCTTCTCAGCTCCAGCCCGAGGAGCTTGTGTCTTTTAGGCGAAGGACCCTCTGTTGAGTATTACAAGGCATTTTAGGATGGGACCCCAATTATTCAGATTTGAATCTCTACACTTATCACTGTGTATAGTCCATAGGGGCATTTAGTAAATGTTAGCTGAAGAAATAAATAAAACGAATAAGTTCCTTAAGCACTGGAGAACTGGCTCAAAGTTTTTATTTTTATTTTTTTAATTTTATCAGTTCATATGTAAAAGCTTTGGTTAGGGTCAAAAATCTAATCCGAAATCTCTGGGTAAAAAGCACTGTTTGGATTTAAATTCCAAGCATGATTTTTGCAATGCCTGGGTGTCTGTGACGAAATCAGAGGTTTTTCCTTTGTGATATTTGGCATCTCAAAATTTTCAAAATTGTATTTTATGGTTTCTCCTTGTTTCTGTTTAAAAATTAAGTGTGTGTGTGTGTGTGTGTGTGTGTGTGTGTTGGGGAGTGGGGGGAGCAGTGTCAAGAAGAAATAACAACAGCAAACCAACAAAAATGCCACTTTGATTAAGCAGTCAGCTCAGTGAAGCATGTTTCATCCTGGTGCCAAAGACACTCACTAAAATTGCAGCAATTTTTGATGCCCTTGCCAATGTTTGTGGTATTTTTACTTTAAAGATGTAACAGATTGCTCCAAAATAAATAATTTAAGCCTAATATTTCAAAAGAGTCCAAGCGCTTGCATCTTTTCACTTTTGGCTTCTCTTCTGGGATTAAGCTGTGCCCAACAGAAGCAACCCTCACGCCTATATAACACTCCATTTGGAGGGTTGTTTTTTTACTTTGTTTTTCAGAGTTGAATCTATTTTTCACCATTCTGTTCCAATGTCATAAGTTCTATCACTGTTCAGCACTGAAGTGAGAATTCCCCTCGTACAGGGACAAAGGGAATGAACCTCATAGCATCTAGCTTGTGATCTTGTGGGAGGAGTGTTTGGAAAAGGTGCCAAGAGAACCCTGGGATGAAAACTTCACCCATGTTCCACAGGAATCTACAAAGTCTACATGTAGACTTTAAGCCATGAACAATGGGTCAAATTTTGTATATAGTCTCCTCATTTTAACTTAAAATAGCTTCAGACTTGGCAAATGAACCTCACACAAAATGACCCCATCCTCAGTTAGTGGACTTCTCACTCGGTTATTTGCCTTTATGGTACAATCTAAGAGAGAGAGAAAAGATCTGTGTTAAAAAAAAAAAAAAGAAAGAAATCAAAAGCAAATCTTTATGCTGTTCTGCACTTGCTAAATGTGCACGGATAGCTTTTATAAACAGAAAACAGAGAGAAAATATGAAAAGAGTGGAACAATAAACTGACAGCTTTGTGTTCTATTAATGCAGGTAGACATTGTGAGGTCCATCAGATGATCGGTAACTATATGTGGGACCCTAACACCAACAAGTCATTTGACATAGGGGTCAACAGAGACAGCCTGATGCCTCTCTGGTGGAATGGATCAGAACCTCTGTGGATCACTCTGACTAAGGCCAAAAGGAAGGTCTATATGTACTACTGGCCAGGTGAGTACCTCTGGGCCCCTCCAACTTTCCAAATCTCAAAACATCATGGAGTCTCTGAGGACAAAGGATGCAGATGTCATGTGTGAAGACCAAGCCATGGTTTGGAAAAGGAGATCTTTATTCAAGAAATATCTCTTATGGGCATGTTTTTTTAAAAACTTTGCTTTGAACTCTCTAAATTCCGACCAGACACAATACCATTTCCTGATTCCCTTGGTTCAACAATATTGCTGCAGTATGTCATACTTTTTCATGTGTAAGATTTTAGATATACAGGAGAGATAAGTTATAGGATGCTTATTTGCCTTATAAAAGAATTTGGCATACTGTTTCTATAGATTTTGAGCTCCCCTACACAATATTAAAAAGAGGATTAAAAGCATTTACAACCTTTTAGTAGTGCACTAAATAAAGTCTCCTTGTATTAATATTCCTCCTGCATATTATAGATCCATGAAAAAGTAAATTACTTACTGAAATGATATAAGTAATCATGCTGTGAGAAGTCTTCAGGGTACTCTCATCTTGGCAGTCAGAAATTTTTCATTAACGATGAGAAGATAACAAAATAACCAACTTACATTGTCTTCCCATTGATGAGATTCATTCTGAGGTTAGTGGGCAATTGGACTTTTTCATGAACATGGCCGTAGATACTTTTTCCTAATTCTTGATGATGTAACACTGATGATTGTCATTATGGAAGTTGATATCAGGGGAGGTCGAGAAGAAATGAAGGGATATATAGGGGGAGGCAGCTGAGAGAATCTCATTGGCCTGAGTTGGAGAGCATCAGCAGCCTGATAGAACTGTGAAAACACGGTGGGTGTGGGGAACGGTGGCAGGCGGGGACAGAGAAAGTGGAGAGAAGTAAGTCAAGGCTGAATCACAGTTGGCCCACACTGAGGGTGTGGGCCTTCAGCAGGAGTTTGGAGGATGCTGGTTAGAGATGGTCATATGGAGAGGTGCTCAGGGCACTCAAGGCTACACCAGCTCTCAGAGAAGCATAAGACATAGACAGATGGAGACCATGGAAAGCCATGCGGTGGTGAGTGCCCTGAAAGCTGCCACAGAGCAGAGGCTGACATCTATAGGTGAGCCCGGGAAGGCCAGAGCAGGCTGCATTAGTGTAAAACTGGGCAAAACACGAGATATTCTCTCTTTGCTGCATCTTCTGTGACGATGAAGACCATTCTCAGCAATCAGACTGTGGACATTCCAGAAAATGTAGACATCATTCTGAAAGGATGCACAGCTATTGTGAAGGGCCCCAGAGGCACCCTGCAGAGGGACTTCAATCACATTAATGTAGAGCTCAGTCTCCTTGGAAAGAAAAAGAAGAGGCTCTGGATTGACAAATGGTGGGGAAATAAAAAGGAACTGGCTACTGTTCACACTATCTGTAGTCACGTACAGAACATGATCAAGGGTGTTACATTCGGCTTCTGTTACAAGATGAGGCCTGTGTGTGCTCACTTCCCCATCAACGTTGTTATTCAGGAGAATGATTCTCTTGTTGGAATCTGAAATTTCTTGGGTGAAAAATACATACACAGGGTTCGGATGAGGTCAGGTGTTACTTGTTCAATATCTCAAGCCCAGAAAGATGAGTTAATTCTTGAAAGAAATGACATTGAACTTGTATCAAGTTCAGCTGTTTTGATTCAACAAGCCACAACAGTTAAAAACAAGGATATCAGACACTTTTTGGATGGTATCTATGTTTCTGAAAAAGGAGTAGTTCAGCAGGCTGATGAGTAAGATTTAAGTTGTCCAGCTACAGAAACACCAAGATGTCGAGTGATTCCTCAGACTTACCTGTGATATTTTAAAGATGCAATAAAAGTGGGCCGGCCGAGTGGCGCGATGGTTAAGAACTGGCTTGGGACGCCAGAGGGCCCCGGTTCGGATCCCACATATGAGGGCCAGTGACACTGNTTCTATTCACAGGAAGGAAAGTCAGCTCAGCTGGGAGAGAAGGTTCAGAGCTGATGACGAGATGGGAAGCACGCATTTTCCTGCTGGCTTCTGTAACAGGCAATGGTTCCCAGCACAAAGGATGCCCCTGGGGACTAGCACAGCATCTGTGATTAAGCCTTTGAAGAATACACCCTCCCATTACAACTCAAGGCCCAATCCACCTAAAGAATGCAACCTACTTTCTAACCAGGGGTCTGAGATGACCTTCCTGTTGAAAGAGCTGCACTCTACACTTGGAAACCCTTTAACTCATATAAGGAAAACTGCTTCCAGGATCTTCAGGCAACATTCATTCACAGGAGGTGAGCAGGAATCTCTCCACTCCAGTGCATCACTCCCAGCCTTCGCGAAAGTGGAATGGATCATTTATCTCCGTAGGTCTGAGTTTCCCTTAGAATGAATGAGCCACTCTGGGTCAGCCTTGGCCAACCAGTATGGTAGATGGGAGCGGGAACCAAAGCCATCTTTGGAGTTCTTGTCTCAAAGATGCTCCCCTAAAAAGCGCCATAATTAAAATCTTTGACGTTCACCTGAGTCAATGGGCACCACCAACTCGATTGTAAAGAGGCTATTAAGGCCAAGGCTAGATCCTACATAATTGTTAGGAGTTCATTATGCAAAAAGGTAAGGGACTCAGATAACCACAGGAAACGAGTTTGTCATTTAAAAATTTAAAATATGCTATAACTGTGTTTTAACTGCACACATAGATCCTATCTCTCCTCAGTGAGTCCCTATGGGTGTTTCATATATATGCATATATATATATGCATATGCATATATAGATATATGGCGTAAGAGCTGGAGAATTTAGTTTAGCAGACACACAATCCAGTTATACAAGAGCTC